GAGAGAGAGAGAGAAAGGGAGAGAGAGAGAGAGAGAGGGGGAGAGAGAGAGAGAGAGAGAGAGAGAGAGAGAGGGGGCGAGAGAGGGGGGAGAGAGAGAGAGAGAGAGAGAGAGAGAGAGAGAGAGACGCATTTTTACTCTTCATAAAAAAAGGTATTATAAGGCATTTCTGAATGAAAATAATAAAATATCATAGCATGATGGAACAGGACTATAAAAAGAAAAAGAACAGAAGACTTCAAAACGGACAGCAATTCCTAAGGGTATAGAAAGTGGTTTATGCACACATCCATGTTTTAATTATTTAATGTAGTGTTGAATAAATGTCTAAAAAAGTAAACCAAGTGGGCTGCAAATTTAAAATAAATCAGCTGGGGAAAAGTGTTATGACAATAAAGAAATATAATGTTAAGGAAAGTGAATCAAATGTAATTCTGATTGACCAAGAGGAAAAAAAAAAAAGGAAAGGCAATGAACTGAACTAAAAGTGACATGCATGATATATCCAAACTTACGTCCTGTGAAGAAGGGGTCTGATAAATGATTGCATGCTTTGTCATATTCATCTCTTTTACGTCTATCTTCCTAAAAACGTCATATACTTTTCTGACCTTGAACACCTGGTTTCTTGGAGTTTTGTTCCCATTGTAGCCCATGTCATTTCCATTACTGGGGGAAGAGGGGCCAAGGCGAAAAACGTGGCAAAATATCCGGACAATGCACAGCAGACTCTTCATCTGAGCTTCATAACTGCTAGAGAGACTAGAGAAAGACGCAAGTTGTGATGTTATAATGAAAATGTAATCACTGGATCATAAAACAGCACAAAACATCTTGAAGATACATTAACAAACACAACTATCACTACCTGTATTATGTGTGAACAATTGTACTGAAAGACTAGGATCAGAATCACAAGCAACTGGGTGGGTTGGAATTTCTCTTTCTATCTTCCATTCATCTAAGCTGAAAAGCAGACATGATCAAAGAGAAGCTACTCTCTATTACTAGCTCATAGAAGACCACCCAAAATGTTCATTTAAGGTTAACCAGATTTATTTGAAGGTCTGACTGCTCAGTTTCATTGGCATAGAATATTGTAGATGTAAGCAAAAGTCTCCATGGATGTAGAATAAATATCTGCATTCACAATTCATTTAACTACACATACCTTATCATTCAAACCATTTATTTAGTGATGCCATACAAAAATCAACCTGAACAGATACAAGTAACTCATTAAAATGAAAGTCTGCCTTATAGAAAAGGACAGCTACATAAATGTAAAGTTGTACCATCTAAGACATGGGGTGAAGTTCAGATTACCAGGTAAATTGGCAACTTAACTATTTCAGCTCTTGTACCTGTTTAACCCTTATGGACCAGAGCAATGTTTCATATCCAAAACAGGCCTGATTATTTAAAAGAGAACTATGGGGTAAGTGTTTTTCCCCATAGTTCTCCTAAAGGTCACAGGAGGACATATACTAACCTCCTTTCGTGACCCAAAGCACAATATATTGCGAGCTACAGCTGTAGAGATCCACCCAGCTGCGTGAGTGACAGCTGGCTCTGCCTATCTAGAGGCAGAACCAGCTGTACCCTCCCCTGACCGTTCCTCCAGTCAGTGCTGGAGGAGTGGGGGGGAATCCCTGCGGGGAGTGGTGAGTGACAGTCACCACTCTCTCCAGGGAGATGAGGGAGTAGTGAACACCGGTATGTATTCGCTCACTTCACGATCTATTGAGCCGACGTGTGATAGTTTCATTGTCACCTCATAGTTCTCCTTTAATGACAGCATTGCTATTACTTAAGATTTAAAAAAAAACACAACAGTAGGGCTTTCTTTTGGCAATATTGTTTGGCAAAATATACATTTTCTATGAAATCTATAAACAAAAAGTGGTAATAAAAATGAAGACAAAGTTTTTTAGGCTATAACTGATGTTCTAAATCCTGAAGTGCTTAAATAAGGTTATTTAAAAAGATTCATATGGCCTTGTTTTTCCACTGCTGCAGAACTTTTTCATTTTATAAACCTTATGCTTATTTGAAGATGCATGTCCTTGGCCATTACTTTTCCTTAGGTCAACAATTAGTTGTTATTGTCGGTTAAGGACAGCATGCAGTTGCAATCACCATTTTTGTCTCTCTCAGCTTTCAACTACTGTCTATGAGTACAGACTTAATCAATCACTGGCTTCCTAAACCTCTCAGGGACTCCCTTAACAGGATCTGTGCATTTGAGGTGACAGGTCAGCATTTTTTCAAATGCAGCAAGAAAAATAAGAATCTATGTCAGTGGCCAGGGTAAGGGTAGGGCATTCTAGAAAATCCATCTGAAAGATCACACCTTTGAAGCCCCAGAGACATACAAGACAGCAGTTGATTAAGCCCTACAGCATCAACCTGACTTTGAAAGCAAGTAGTTATTTTTTCATGCTTAAAGGATATATGCACTTTCAGACCACAAATGTCTTTGAATAGGCAAAGTAATGTTTTAAATGTAGCTTCTAAAATGTTCACCTCATACTGGGAACAACTTAGCAGCTACCTATCACTAATGTGGAAGATTTCTGAATAGCCATGTCCTAATTTTTAAAGCTTTTAGTTTTACTGCACACACATTATGGAACTTATCGACTAATGGGACTGTAGAGTAATTCCTTGTGGCATGCACCCAACAACCACTCCAAATTTAGAAACTCTTCTGGATAATTTTATTTTTTTAAATTAAAAGATAATAGCAACTAATTATCAGCTTTGGACAAATATATGAAGCATCAGGCAGAAGGGTAATGAAAGTCTGCTAAAGACGATACAAAAGAAGCACTGCTCCTCCACGGCTCAGGAAAGGAATGAGCCGGGTTCTTGCTGCTGGGTGCATGTCCTCGCTCCAATATGATACCATACAAACAGAAGCTATTCTTCTCTGTGTATGGTCTGATAAAGACCACATTAAACAAATCAGACAGCCTTATGTGGTACCGGCTCAATGCTCTTAAACACAGTACCAACATCAGAAATAACCAGGTCAATTCAATCAGCGCATTTTTCTCCCTGACAAACCCCTTAGATCAGGGCTTAAAATTTCCATTCGCCTGCTCGCATTTTGCGAGTAAAAATTAGGTGAGGGTGAGTGGAAATTAATCACATGCTGCCCATACACACATCCTCATATGGTAGTGGTGGAAATGATCAGTTCCCCCCCAGTTTTGACTGTGGTATCTTATCTGCACCCTGTTAACATAATATAAAGCTAAAGCTATGTTATGATTACTGTTTTTTATATTTTGGACTCTATTCTAAAGAAAAATTTAATTTCATAAGCTTTAAGGGGGCGTGGTTGGGGGACGGGCCTGGGGTGGGGGGGCGGGCCTGGGGTGGGGTTGGAGGCGGACCTGGGCAAGGTTTGGTGGGACAACTGGTGGAGAGTAAGGTTTTTGCCTGGCTAGTAGGTCTAGAGACTTGAAATTTTAAGCCTTGCCTTAGATCAGGAGTGCCCACAAGGTTGATCGCGATCTACGAGTCGATCGCGCAGCGATCACTGGTAGATCGCCATGTCCTCCCCTCCCGCCGCTTCTCTGGATCCCGCTGCTCTCCCCAGCGGGGATCCGAGAAGAAGAGAAGGAACTGGCGGCGGGGGAGGGCGGAGGACGGAGCCGCTGTCACAGAACTAATGCAGAGCGGTGAGGAGAGAGAGAGAGAGAGAGAGAGAGACGCTCGGCCAGGATCTGACAGCCGGCGCCTCTCTCTCCCCTCACTGCTCGTCTGTTCTGTCACAGCGGCTACGACACCCCACCCCCCGCGACTGAAGTGCTCTTTCACTTCTCGTCGGATCCCCCGCTGCCTCTGCCCGGGAGAGCAGGGGGGATGCAGAGGAGAAGCTGAGCCCATTTGTGCGTGGCCGAGCGGCAGAGGATCGGTACATGTCAGTAGTATGTACCAATCCTCTGTGCAGGACAAACACTGGAGCGATCGGCTGATCACTCCAGTGTTTGTAAATAACTAAGGACACAGTACTATGTGTCCCCAGTTATAAAATGAATGAACAGGATGTGTTCACGTCCCGTTCATTCATGAGTTTCTCAATGGGGAGAAGCACTCTGTACAGAGGCTCCTCCCCATTCAGAAACTGCTTGATAGTAAAATATTTTCTGAATGAATGGGAAGCCTCTGTGCTTTCCATTCATTTAGAATAGAGGCTGCAGAAAAAAAAGGATTGAGGACTATGTGTCCTCAATTTCTTTTTCTATTTTAAAAACTGCGGAGCCTGGCTGCGGTGCCATTGACTTCAATGCACCGCCACGCCCCCTCCCGCCCTTGAATGCAGGTGTTTTTTCGTTGGTAGATCTCAATGAGCTCGTCATTTGAAAAGTAGATCTCCAGACGAAAAATAGTGGGCGCCCCTGCCTTAGATAAATGTTAAAATTATCTCTCTTTATTTGTATACATCAACAAAATCCTCACAAACTCTCTGTGAACAAAGCACAGGACGCCCTCCTATTATTTTATCTCAATCATCAGTGTGCATCAGGGTACTTAGGTCCAATGGTGCCAAAACATCCAATACTGTCTGTCTAGCCGACTTGGAATAACTGTAGAAATAAGGTCTGACACTCATTTAAAGTGTGCTTGTTCTGGATCTGTGATTAACAAATACTTAAGACACAGCCAAGTGACTATCATTTTCAGAAGGTGACCAGCAATGGCGGGCTTACTTCCCTCATGACAGATTCACTTTAAATCATTAGCAGCAAAAAAAAACATTTTTTTTTTGTGCTTCCGGCCTTCTAGCAACCAGTATAATTCCCACCAGCATTTGCCCACACCCAATGTCCAATAAAAACATTACCTTAAGAGTTTGTGGCCGTTTGTAGTAGCAACTTCTGCAAGACTTGTAAGTATTTTCTGATACTGGCTTTCGTTTTGCTGTGATAAATATTCCAGGACTTGCCTTAACTACATAAAAAAAATAGACAAAGTAGGAAATATAATTGACTAAAACACTTTCATTCATTTTGATATGACTTTCAATCGTTAATATAAGGCAGACTTGAAGGAGCAATTGGTTCTTAAAGGTTTGTTTAAAAATGAAACACACAGGCATAACCCATCATCAAGAACAAGACAAAATGTTAAAAAACAGAACAGAAAATAGTTTATAAAAAAACAAAAACCATATTGATCATTTATGAACATTGCATCACGACGACATAAAAGATCGGTAAACTAACCTAGTTAAATTATTTAACAAGACACAACCCAAAAAAGTAATATTACTGCACAAAAAGTAGTAAACCATGGCAATTAGATAGGAGCGAGAAGAAAAAGTAAACTACAAGAAAGTACCATATTCTCCCGAATATCTTCACTTTGAGTCAATTGTATTAATGTCTGGAATAGTCTTGGGTGATGCTGTATAAGTATTTCACAGGTTTCACCATATCCACCCTTGGAGGGAAAAAAAAAAAAAGCATACACACAAGACAATAGAATGAAATGCCATGTAATTCATTATTCAATTACACTGTAATAGGTGTATGCGGCAGAAAGAAAAATATGGTCTTACTACGAATAGTTAACATGTGCAAAAAAAAAAAAAAAAAAAAAAAACACACACATTAAACACAAACTACAGGAGGTCATTTAACATGACAGCCTCAGAGTAAATAATGTACCAAGCCACTGCAAATAAACATTATGACTTAACTACAGACTAGGGAACTGTGTTTTCTTTTACTGACTCAGTCAGATCAAGGAAGGATCAGGAAACTACTCAGCATTTCTACATGCGTGTGCTCCAAATGTATCATCAGCTACAACAATTTTTCACTTCCATGTGTCCACATCTACTTAGTAGAGGAATGCTGCTATGCTAATGCTGACCACTAGAGGGAAAGAGTAACAATCAGCAGCAAGCTGCAAAAACATGACAAAGTAAGCAGCAAAACCCTTTAACAGGTACACAATTGATTTTAGCCAAACCACTAAGCTAGAATGAATGCATTATTTGCTTTCCATAGTTTAGCCCCGTATTCCTGAATACAATAATCATTATGGCAAATATATTTCAAATGATGACACAGACAAGCAATAAAAACTTGGAATTTCCAGCAACCTTATTAAAGTCGAATTCAGAGCTCATCCTCCCAGCCTCCAGTTGTCGCCCCCCCCCACCCCCCCACCACCCATATGAAATTTTTGCTTTAAAAAAAATTGTGTTCAGACATATGACGCACAGGGTCCTCTTCAAAACTTCCCCAGCAGTCAGGTGCTCCTCAATGCAGAGAGCAAATGACGTCACCGTTGTTCTCTGAATCACTGCATGTGAATGCAGAGCTCTGTGATGATGCCCCTGAGGAGAGAGGGCCATGACACCCTGCATCAGGATGTCTTCAGTCTTCCGAGATGGATAAGGCTGGGTGTCATTTAAACGAGAAGATTGAGGACATCTAGTGGAGGACGGATATTACTGTGAGGCACAGATCAGGAACATAGGCAAGTATTGCAGCCTAGACCAGCTTTTAGTTTTTTATACCTCCAGTGGGACCTTTTAAAAATAATTTTTAAAAACTGCCCAGAGCTGGACTTTAAACTAACTCCATGTGTCAGTCAAATCAGTTCTGGTATTAACTGACACCTAGGTATTTAGATATACAAGTGCATGGTGTACTTGTTCCTACACACATCTTCTATAACCATAGACGCAAGTCATAAGACATACCTGTACACAGAGATCCAATGGTGTAACACCATTTCTATCTGGCAAGTACTTAGCACCACGTAGAAGTAGTATCTGTGCAGTATCTCTTTGTCCGTGACTGAGGAAAACAAAAGAAATTATTTGTGCTACAAGCTGTATGCCTGATGGCATATTAATTGTAATACAAACAGAAACACATCAAATCTCACTCCATCTCTCATTGTGTTTTCTTTGGCTACAAGCTATTGCTGCTGAAGAAATTAATTTCAAGTAATCTTATCTCCCACAAAAACACATTTACTGTCATTTCCCTTCAGAGGTACAAAATGTAATATAAAAAAAAGGGAAGAAAATATATGAATATCGTGTTGGAAAATAAAACACCAAAGGCCTCACACACATTTCCGCCATTTTATATTATTATTATAGGAAGATTGTCTAGATAACCGTTACAGGTATTGAGATGGGAATGCGTATGTTAACTATATTACTGCAGAGCAGTAATGAAGCTGTGCTACAATAAAACTGTGAAATAATGATAAAAAATAAACAGACAACTGTCAAGAAAAAAAACCTCAGGAGTCCTTACTAAACAGCCAGCACACTAAAGCAGCGCCACTGCTCATTCGTCACTTGTCCCCATCATAAGAGTTACCAGCTTTCTATGCAGAGGAGTTATTCTCAGGAGGGGTAATTCACATGATGAATCTCTTGCGGCATCTATTATATTTTGACAGCGGGCACGTGCAGCAGGAAACTCATCCATTCATCCATCCATCCATGAAAAAGGCTTCTAGCCCAACACAAACACATCTGGTGTGAATAGAATCTTACTGTTTTTAGGACAAGGTCAGCAATGACATCCTGCATATTTCTCTACACACTTTTATGCTCTCAGGATATTTCCCTTCAAATTATGTAAACCCATTAAAAATCAGCCGTTGTATCAAACTGTGATAAAGAACACAATTACAATTAGGTGAACAACCTATAAATTTATAATACTGTTTCAATGGGATTCTAATAAAAATCAGCATACGCAAATAAGCTTATGCCATGTAAGTGCGAAAATTAACACAAAAGATTATGTCCAATAATGGTGTCACTCTAATAAATGTCCAAATATTGCATAGTCTTTTGTTATCCACCAACTATCTGTGATCTCCTCTTAGCAACTTCATATAACAATGGTCATCAAAGCAACACTTCCTCCCATGTGATCGTTGCAACCTATGTAAACCTACGTAAATACACAATGAAAATGCAAACACTCACATATTGGGTGGGAATTCATCCCCGAACTTTAGTGTTTACCAATTCATAGTGCGCCCTTTTTTTCATCACTATTTGTATTTAAACAAAAGTACACCTCAAAATATTTTCTCCAACAAGAATTTAAGTTGGCAATAGACATTAGATAACAATCTGCTTATCTGTCCGTCTATGGTATGAACAGACATCCACCAGGGCTGACAATCGATTGGACAGATGTACAAACTTTTACTAATCACTAATGTTATTCCTCAAATAAGTAGAACTAGAAGACTCCTTCTCTTTTCATGCACTGATTGTAGAGCATTGAGCCAAAACATGCACATCTGGGAAGCCATAGGCCGACAGACATGCCTTTGAGACCCTGGACTATACTAAGCAAGACTGCAGCTTGGAACATACCTAAAATCGTTCTAAAAAGTGAACAACACACACTGAGTTAAGCTGGTTATACACCAAACGAATGACGACTCAGATGAAATTTGAATAGCATGTGGCCATGTCGGACCCCCCTCCCCCTTTTTACAAAAGTCAATTATGAACCAACTTCTGTTGAAGAAGCTGGTCCAAACAATCCTGGCTGAAGAGGGACTGTAGCCAACCAGCTGCAGCCACTTTTGGGTATTTTGACAGCGGCACACAGGATGGGGATAGATTCCTCCCTCTTGGGGGAATTGAGAGTTTCTCATATAAGACCAGTGTATGTCTGTGAGGGGTCTTATTCATCCAGGTCATGGTACACCTGTAAAAAATAAAATCAAGGCAACTGGACTTGCTGCATTTTTGTTGAAGATGTTTCGCATTCTGAACTGAGAAAGATGGTCGGATGACCAGCAAAACATCTTCAAGAAAAATACAGTTGCCTTGATTTATTATTTACAGATAAGGCCAGGATATGGCCAGCCTTAAAGAAATGTAAGGTGTATGCATTACCCCAAGTAACCAGTCAGATGTTACTATCCCTAATTTAACTTACGATCAGCTGTAAAGTATTGGTAACACCACCACTTATCTTTCCAGGTTCAATAATATACAATCCTGCATTACACAATTTTAAACTCATTCATGAGTCATTCTGTACTTTAGCACGTGATCATATCTTACCTGCATGCAAAATACAGTGGAGTGGCTCCTGAAACGTTTGGCCTGTTAATATCTGCACCACTGTCTAGTAAGCACAGTACAGTCTGAAAGATAAAGAAAAAGTGTTACATCACAACAGTGCTTTGGTTAGTTGTAAAGTGTTTAAAAAATGATAAATCTATAAAAAGGAACCGAGAGCAATAGTGTCAGAGGAAAAACATCTCCAACTCAAGTTGTGTGTATAGTTCAAAACGTCACAGTTACATAGCCTTCTGCTTCCAAGATCACATCACATAAAAAACAGGATCTGCAGAAACCAACAGTTAAAGACTGTTAGCCAAGAATCTGCCTAAATTCTTACAGCACGTGGTCCTGCCGAGGGAGCTGGGCTGAAAATATTTGTCCAAAAATTTTGACACCAATCAGTTGCAGTCACTGTTCATCTACACAAAAAAATTCCTCCATTCAAACTAATCATGGATGGACAAATCTCCTGCTGCAGTTATTGTATTCTGAATGCGGGTGCCTGCAGCAGGAGATTCTTCCATCCACAATGTTTAGCATGTATGGAGGACTCAGATATTTTACATTCGGTCGGCAGGCTGAAAGAAAAAATCTGCTAGTGTATGGTTTAGCTTAAAGTGACATTAAAGTCAAACATCTTTTTCCCTCCCCCCAATTTTAATTAAAGCACTTACCTTAAATGATGTTACTTAATCTGATCTTTTTTCCTGTCCTTTTCATCTGTCCCTCCAGCGATGCGGCGGGTCTCCGATCCAGCGCTGACTCCTCTTGTCCTTGCTGGCACTTCCTGTCCCACGATGTCTACATGCGGGTGCACGCGTCCACAGACTTACCTTGTGTCTCTCCTCGCGCCCCAGCCGAAAATGTGAACAGCGCATGCGCCCGCCGCAACATGCTTTGCGGCCGCCCAAGAATTTTCAAATTTTTGTACGGGAGCGCGCGGGGGAGACACAGGTAAGTATTAACCCTTTTGAAAGCGTTTTGTTTTTTGTATATATCTACTGCACCCTAGCAGTAGATATATGCAAAACAAACAAAAAAAAACGGAGGGTTTAATAACTCTAACTTTCTTTGTAATGGGAAATAAGCTAATTTGAAAGTCAAGAACTGATACCATGAAAATGTCTGTGCCTACCTCCTCTACAGGTAGCTCTACTGCCATAGCATGAGAAGCTGTTCATCATAGAATATTAATTTGTTTTCATACCTGTGCAGGTACAAAGAGCGGCCACACAGTTGTTGTTTTAATCTTTTCCTTATGTACCTGATGGTGAGTCACTGGGATCTCATAAACTAAAGGAATTTTCTTTCAGCAAAAGGGTTGGTTTTGTTCTTGTAATGTTTTCTGGGTATGCTATATTTCCAGTCTAGATGCATACAGTGCTCACGTTTTACTATCATTTGGGAGATTTCTTGGATCACAATTATATTGGTAACTTCTATTAATAAAATGACTGATTTCAAGAGAGTCACTTGAGGTTTAAGTGTATTCCTCATTGGAAAGTGGTGTTTTCTTCATAGCCAGTTCAGCCTGTATGGCAAGACTAAGTTAAAAATATCAAGACCCTGCAGATGAATTAGGAATATGTCGATACATTTTCATACTGTACCAAATGTAAATATAAGAAATGGTCTGGAGCATCTAGTTTTTGTGCATATACATATATGAATGCTTTTAGCGGCCTCTGTGTGCACAGCTGTAAGCATACGTGGTAGTACAATGTGGCAGATTGTAAAGTAAAAGAGATGGTGCACGTGGGAGGAGCTGACAATAGTTACACCATGGGCCAAGAAAAGTAAGAGCCTGGAAGCCAACATGCAGACATTTAACGCTCATTCACACAAACTGCAGTGATTGGCATTTTTCTGCACCAAACTAATGACAGTCACCACAATGACAGACAGAAAACAATTGTTTTCAATGTACCTCGTTCACACCACAATGCTGGTGTGATGTGCTGTATTTTTCCACAGCTCACCGGATGGCACAGGAGATCACCGCAGCATCAAAATAGTTAAAGATAAAGTAAACAGTGCCTTACATTGCAACAATGCATGGCACTGATACGCACTTCTGCCAACCAGCAGACACCAGCCGCACATGGACCATTTTAGTGTGTAATTAGTGTGAACCAGCCCTTACAAATAACATGCCTGTTAATATGCTGCTCTGACATGCGTTATGAAAAACAAAGCAAATTATAAGAAGGTGAATCCAACATTATATGCTTTTTTTATTCAGACATGTCTTTAACCATTTGAGGACCCCCTTCTTGTCCAGGCCATTTTTCAGTATTCAGCGATGCAGTACTTTGACTGCAACACATTACCAAAATTAATTTAATATAATTTTTAGGGTACAGATAGAGCTTGGGGTTTCACCAGCTTCTTCTCTAGCGGCTTCATTTCTAGCTACAGAAGACAGAGAAATTACAGGCTGAAGACAGAAGAGATGTAATACACATCACTTTCACATTTAGAGATCTCCAGGAGATCAGCAGGTGGAAGTGTAATGATCTCCCTCGGATCTCAGTTTAGAAAGCTGCCGTATCGGTCCCGGGCCCGCACACAAGCACGCAACATACAAGCGATCAGGCTGCTCTATTCCCTCCGAGCGCTTGTATGTAAACAGCCATCGCCGGTTGTTTAAACTGCTGACAGCGTGGGGCAGCCCGCACAAGCGGGAAAAGACGTTAGAAAACCACCTGCAATCAACAGTGACCCATCCAGCTGTTTAATTACAATAGCCGGATGGGAAGGGGTTAAAAATACATTTCCACTTTTGGAACCAAATTGGGACACTACCTATTTTAAATATACTATTGTTCTGCTTCACACAGGGTAACTTTAAAAACATACTTGACAATAGCTACTTACATATTACTTTCTCTTTCCTGAAGGAAAAGCTTTTATGTAAACTGCATTTTCCTCAGGGAATGCAAGGGAGGAGGAGGAGGAGAGTTAATCTTTAAGCTAGTTAACCCTTTAAACCCTCCTTTTACGTAAAGTAAACTGTTCACTGTGGCCTAGCATGTAGAAGATATACTGTATTGATCTCTCATTTCAGGCTGCTTTGTCTATCTGCAGGAGGCTGGCACTGACTGGACTATTTTATATGTTGCACAGGACCCAGCTTTTTTCCAGCAATTCAAAATGAGGGGGGCATATCAATTTCAGCCCATTGACACAGACACACACACACACACACACAGGGACAGCAACGTTTTCTTAATGTGACACTAAACTCAGGACTTAAATCTTTAACCTCCCTGGCGGTCTGATTGTGTCAGTATTTTTTCACTTTTTAATTTCCCGCTGGTTCCGCCCCTCCTGCGACACCGGCATTGGCCGGAGGACCCAGTGGGGCTCTTAGGGACAAGGTAAGTGACGCTACAGTGTAATCTCGAGTGTGGCTCGGGGTTACCGCTTTTGATACTGAAAATTAACCCCGAGCCACAACACTTTGCTGTAGACACTCAAATCATCTCTGAATTAATTCTGACACTGTCCTTCCTTCTGGAGCATGGACACTTTTGTCACCCATGGTGTGTGTGTGTGTGATGGCTACTTTACAACACAAGTCAATGTAGAACAAGGCTACATAAACAAGGAAAAAACACTTCAATTGTCCCCAAATATCAGAAACAAACACTTACAGTTTTGTGTCCATTCTGGCATGCCACATGTAGCGCTGTTTGTCCCATTGCATCTTCCACGTCTACGTTGGTGACATGTTGTACAAGGTCATGAAGGAGCTCAGTTCGCCCATTTACAGCTAACCAGTGAATCTTAACAAGACACAAGTAAGGTTTTCAGTAAAAAAAAAAAAAATGCTAAAACAGCAACTTAATCTTTTTTTATGTATTTAATTCACACAAAGGAACACGTTTATAAACTGAATTCAGAAGGTGCTACAAGATAACTGTGCTGTAAGCTATTAGGATCAATTTAGGAATACCAGCTAGCTGTAAGGCAAGACTCCATTTTGCAAAAAAAGCATTCTGCAAACTGTAGTGTTCTCCAACTCTCCTGGAGGAACAAAAGAAACAAACCTGTATGCACAAGTCTTTACAGCTAAAATCCAAGAAAGACGCTAAATACTCAATTTACATATATTATATCTGCAATACTGTTCAGTGAGTATTGTGATCTAAGCAACCCTTATAAACTTTACAGGACGGCCCTAGATTGTCAATAGGGCAAGAAGAACACACTTCCAGCCTATTGACTGAACAGTGAAAGAGCAGCAGAACACTGAAGAGTCTTCATTCTGCCTTCCCCTCCTGTCAGCCTCAAATTCAGGTACACAAGTAGCATTTAAGAAGATTCTTTTTTTTTGTAAATTAATAAAATCTGGGCTTTTTTTAATATATGCTCTTAGCTCAGCTATAAATAAAAAAACTGTTGGAAGGGAAACGTGGAGGCCGCTATTGTTGGCCTCTACTGAAAATAACAGTTGCGTGGCTGTCATGGTGACTCTTGTGATTCATCAGTTTCAGTCTCCAACCCAACAAAAGTATGTACATAATGAGTTTGCTCTGCTCTGCCACCTGCTCTGGGTCGGTGGTCGGCTGGGTCTTAAAGTCTAGTTCCACTTTTACAGCCAGATTGGGATAACTTTATACTTATTTTATGTTCCCATTCACAATGCATGACTATGTAATATTGAACGAGAATATTTTAAAATTGCTGCTTACATTGTTAAGTGCTTACTTGATTAAAAATACTACCTAGCGTCCCCCTACCTAATGTTAAAGAGCAGGCTGTACGAAGTTATGTTCACTCTAATTAACCCTGTCTGTAATGTGCTGGGAGATTTCATTATACATAGTTACATAGTATTTGAGGTTGAATAAAGACATTAGTCCATCAAGTCCAACCTATTAGGATCTCATTCTAGGAGTACCCGTACCCCTGTATATTGCGGTCCCTTAAGAAATCGTCCAAACGTTTCTTGAACAATTCCACATTATTTGCTGAAATCACCGCCTGTGGCAGTGAGTTCCAGACACTAACTGATCTTACTGTGAAGAACCCCCTTCGCCCCTTGTGCTGGAATTTTTTTTCCACCACTTTTAGGTGGTGGCCTCTAGTTTTTGTAATGGGGTTAATTTTAAACAGTTTATCACTAATGTTGCTACCACCATTGAACATTTTGTACATGGAGATCATATCCCCCCTTAATCTCCTCCTCATGTTTAAATTATCAGTCATAAACTAGATTTGAACACTGCCTGCCCTAACAAAGGATTAAAGACTTAGAAGCATTGTATGTTAATGAGAAGAAACTCAGTCTTTCCCACAGTCTGACCCTCTAATTTAACTTTCAAACTGCTCAGAGTAGCCTGGAATCTGCACAAAGGCCTTCAACAACTAAAACAGCTAAAATGGTAAGAAATGCATTTAAAAAAAATATTTTTAGATCTGCTGTGTGAATGGGGACACATAACAAACCTACAGACGGGTTTTCCCAAGTGTGACTGCAAAAGTGGAACTTTTCTTTAAAGCTTTAAAGAAAAAGTGTGTCAACTAGCATTTGCAAGAGTTCAGCAATGGCAACCACCATATTTCTCCAATAAAAGGCTTATTTTAAAGCCGAACACCAAGACTTTTTTGTTTTGGATAGAATGGGAAAGGATAAGAACTTCTGATGGATATATATATATATATATATATATATATATGCTAACATATGCGGACTTGCTGAGCTTTACTTTTTGACTCTGCACTTATTTATCATTATCAAACATAATAAATAACCATCCTTTCCTGAGATTTAAAGGCAAGGTTGCAAATAACATCTTTTTATTAAGCGAGAATAAAAATACTTACAGCCGTGAGTCCTTCATTATTGCAAATGTTGACATCTGCATTGTATTCTAAGAGTTTGCTCATGCATTTCTTCTGCCTGTAAAAATAATGTAAACCTTTTAGGATGTTTCGTCAATGCATTGGTATTATTGTTCTGAAGTCACAGTGATGACATTGTTACAGGTGATTAACCCCTGATGAATATCTATAACGATGAACATAAAACACTTTGTACTGATGATTCATAAATCTCTTTGGGGCAGGATTTGGAATCATCCAGATTTTACAGCAGGGTTAGGCAATCTTAGCACTTCATCTGCCATAAAACTACAATCTCATCCTGCCTCTACCTATCACAGTCTAGCAATGTCTCATGGGACACTTGGGAGTGCCCAGATTGCCTACCTCCGTTCTACAGTAATTGTGAGTATTGTATAGTTTCTACCATTCACACACAACGCAAGAGCAAAATTGTATATTGCGTATATACGAGCGTATATGCGTGCACTATTTGCATTCCCAGAATGCATCATTCCTAATAGAAATTCTAATGAACTGTACGCACGTACATGCATATATGCGTAAACATGCGCTTGCGCGTAAAATACGCAGAAATACGCTGCCCGGACGCATCTTTGGTCCGTTCTGTTTTTGGGCATTTTTACGCTACGCAAATATACGGCTCCATACGCCGCTATGTGTATGGAGCCATTTATTTGCACTTGTTGCATATGGTACAATACGCGAGGCAGTGTGAATGAAGCCTTAGAGTGATAAAATATACGAGGCCTGTGCCTAAACTGTAATAGCATACCCATTGCGAGCTGCCAGATGAAGAGGCGTGCATCCTGAAATATCCTGATAATTTGGATTGGCTCCTCTCTTTAAAAGCAGAACTAAGCATTCCACTGAACCACAGCTAAAGAAAGAAAAAAAAACAAGACAAAGGATTAAACATAGCATAAAAATACTACAAGCTCAAAATAATAGGCAACAGAATTGAGCTAATAATTTGGTAGAGGTTATAAGTCCAAAATACAATCAAAGCAAAATATAAAACTCAGTTAATTGTGCAAAAAGCAGTGATGCTTAGAAAGAGATGCTGTTTAGAGTTTAGAGGCCTGCAAGACTTTTCTATTCAAAATTATTTTTTTCAGTTTAGTGTGTTTCATTATCCTTTATTACCTTCGCTAAATTTCAAGGTATGATTCAAGTAAAAGTACAGTTCCATTATAGCTTTTCCCGTGATGTGCAAGAGAGGCGAAGTCTAGGTGTCTCATTTGTGAGAAACTAGTGAGAACTGGATGTCATCTGTCACAAGCAGATGAGCGTTATGCCGGAAAAAAAAAAATGTAATTGCCAATTTTCTAAAAAATTGTGTGCTGTTCATGGTTCCTGGTCCTATCTTGTAGAGCTAGTGGGGAGATGCTCTGAAATACATACCTTCTTAAAATGTCCTCATTTGGTAACATTAGGTATGTTGCTAGTTCATTTGTTTGCATAGATAGTTTTGTCAAGCAAGGGTCAAAACTTTTACTAGGCTAGCAACACTTGTCACACTAGTGACAGGATCTCTAGAAAATGCAGGGAGGACACAGCTGCTTTGTATGGCTTCTTCAGCAACGAGGCGTTGCTCCCTCAATAATGCTGCAAAACCCAAGACACTGGCGAGAGAGAGTGAAGCCTCACCCCTCCAGCCAGTGAGGGAGTGACACATTCAAGCAAATGAGCGGCTTCACTTGCTGCTGTGTCCCCATAAGTCAACATACTGCTGGTGACTTATCACCAGTGACAGGATCTCCAGGCCCCTTTGTCATGTTGCACTGCTACATTAATGGCACGGTTTGCTCCTTCTCTACACATTAAGATAACTATGGAGCTACAGAACATACCATTGCATAGAAACTTTATCATCTCCAGTGGTACTCAGTAGTCAGAATGAGAATGCTACAATTACACTCTCCGTCCAACGGTTTTCCTTAGGGATGACCCGATACCAATGCTAGCATCGGAATCGGGCCCGATACAAGGCATTTTGACTTGTACTTGCCAAAATGCCCCGATGCCTAGTGCCGAAGCTTGCGCTGTTTTTTTTTTAAAAAATTCTTATTTAACCTACTGGACGTCTGTAATGTATATGAAGTACATATATACAGCACACACCTCCACTACACTCCAGCAATAGTGTTACAATTCTCCGCTGCTAACATGAATAGGTTAAATCATGATCCATAGTACAGAACATGTAGTTGTATTATGGATCATTTAAAGTTCCTGTCCCTTAAAGAAAAAGTATCGGTGATTGGTATCGGCAAGTACATGAGGGGAAGTACTTGTACTTGGGCCTGAAAAAGTGGCATCGACATCCCCAGTTTTCCTAGTTAGGTTTGTAACCTTGTGACGCAAAAAAAAAAAAAGAAGAAAAACTCCTTCCTTTTCACAAAAATAACTCAGCCGCTCCCTCTTCATTTATTAAATAGCAATTCCACACACTAAGCACTAAAGCCAGCCATACACAGAGCAAATTTAATCCGGTTTATCAAGAAAATCACTCCGCGACTGGCCCTGTCGGCAGCCTTCCACCCAACATCCTTTGCAGCGATCAAAAGAGCCGGGCTGAAAATTGTTAGCTCAACAGTGACAGTGACAATTATCCACAGTCACCGTTTGAGTATTGTGACAGCCACGGACGCCTGCTCTCAAAAATACAATAGTTGCAGCGGGACATTCCTATTCCTTCATCCTTTGCATGAATGGGGAAATCTGTTAATCTGTGATTTTTTTTCTTCAGCCCACAGACTAAAAGAGCTATAGCCAAACCTTTTTTTGGCTTTAATTTTCTTTTGGGTCACAGGAGTAGACCTACCAATGTACTCCTGTGACCCAAAGTCAGCATATAGCAGGCTACTACCCGTTATATGCTGACAAGGCAGAGCCGAGCTGCAGCCAGAAAAAATCCCAACAATATTGTCGAGAACATCCCCGCTGCTTGATTGACAGCTGGCTCTGCCTCTCCAGAGCCATTGCCAGCTGTGCCCGCCCCCTCCCGTCTGTCAACTGAACTCAGAAAACTGAACTCAGAAAAACTCCATCACCAAACAAAATTATCTGCAGGTAGACAGGGGTCATCAGGGGTATATAGGTTACTGTTGTCACCATAAAGAGCACTTGTCTCTGCATGTAATGGTCACAAATATGACCATCAGCCATCTTGTAACAGTAAAAAAGTTCAAGAAAAAAAACAACAACAACAACAACAACAACAACAATAATCCACAGGCAAAAGTAGGCACACAACATACAGGACAATATATGTACATAGATGCCTATTATACTATAATTATTAATTCCCATTAATAGTTTTAGGGTCATCATTTTAACGTCTCTCTAAATTAATGAGAGGGAAAGGTTGTTTAATGCATTGTCCATTTACAGTTTTGGGTTTTTCATGGTTTCCTAACCACATCATTTTGATCCCACAAATATTTGTTACCTATAAAAATCAGTCTTAACTTTTTATTATTATGAACAGAAATGCTGCAGATTATATTATGTTTGTGTGCACTAAAATAAATGTATTTTTTAATTGAAAGCGTTGGTCAATACTAGTTAAAATGGTAGTAAAAAAAATATATATATATATATTCTTTTCTATAATTTTCCTCGCAGGCAGTCTTTGTATCCCAGAAGACACTGTGTAAGTCTCTCCTTCCAATAGAAGCATCTTCCCGCCTGTGAGCATTTTTTTTTCCTGTACACTAAGCCACACATGAGCAGCTCAGTTTACAGTCTTGGCAGGATTTGTGCTATGCCTGCATGCCTTATATCATCGGGGCCCAGCCAATCAAGCAGCTGAAGAATTAGAATCAGACCAGGTTGACCACAGAAGCTCCAGCAAGGGATAAGCGCAGAGCTGGAGGGGATTGCTTTGGCAGGTTGTCCTCCATATAGTGCTAATATGTTGTGCATACTAGCACATTATGGAATAAAGCTCATGCTGTCCCCCTTTTTCCCTCGCTTTACCTCCAGCTTAAATATACAAAAACCGCAATACCCTCTTAATTCTATAGATCTTATATATGGTCCTGAATATATGTGTTGGGGGGGTATATAGTAAGTTCTTCAGTCCATAATGTGTATGTGGAATTGTAAACGGGTAGCTAAAGGGTTAAAGTACAGGCCTTGAAAGTCTTGAGGCTATATTAAGAGTTAAAAAAAAAAGAAGTCTCAGCATGCCTGTCTACAATGAGGCATAAACACTGCCTTTTAAATCAGCTTACTGAGTCACTGATGATATTTCATTCACTTTCTGGGCAGTAAATACAATCAGTACATGAGAAAGCAGTATGTACTAAAAATAAATCTGTCCAATGTGTTTCTTGCACAACCAGTTCTGCAGGAAGCCATATAGCCGTGGTTTATATGTTTAGGGTCAAATATCACTATGGATCTCTTGAACTGTAAAGATATTGCATAAAAGACTCAGGAGTTCTATATTGTAAAGGATTATCCTTCATGTTGTATAATGATCAGAATGTAACATACAGAGTTTCAGGGTTGCTGCCCTTCCCCAAAAGGTATCACTGTATTCTCACATTACAACACTAAAATAATATACTCCATTTATTAATGTGATCTTACTAAAATGTATACAGCCCGTGAATCGGCATGTGTCAGTAATACCAATTACATTTATATTTTGAGTTTAAAAAAAAAATCACTTCTGCCCTAACCCTTGCGTAACCAGGAGGTAATTGATGGCCAAGTTGATCTTTTAAGAGATTCCAGTGGATTAATGACTTTTCTCTAACAATCATTTGCTACAAACTTGTTCAAGTACTGAGGCCAGACAACTAGCATTTTTGAAAGAAAGCCAACACAGGAAGCCCCCACATTTCCCTCATTACAGGTGTACTTTAAAGTGACAACTCAGGAGTTAAACCTTACAAATGCACTCAAGTACCTTAACTATTAAGAATAATATACCTTATTTGTGTATCAGTCAGCTGTAGATCCTCAAATCATCTCTGAATTGGTGCCGACACTGTCCTTCCTTCTGGAGGGTGGTTACTTTTGTTCCCCATGGTCCCTTTGTGTGTTGTAAAGTAGTCACCACTCCAAACTCACTCATGTGATGGACTACAATCTCAATAAAAATGAGTAAAGTAAATATGAGATTGTAGTCCATCACAGGAGTGATCTTGGAGCGGTGGCTACAAATTTTTACGATGAAACTTCTGAGTTTAGTGTCCCTTTCAGGCCACCTGTCTTTCAAGGCTTGACAACAAAAGACAAATGTTTGTCTGCTGTGGTCAAAGAAGCCCAAAGTTAGCCAGCCACACCAATAGTATATTTAATACTTAAGTGACTCTGCTGAAAAGCTGCCCCTGTGATTACAAACACACAATATTACTGAAATAGAAATAATAAATATTGTTTTTCAGCCACTGAGTTATTACAAGATAAAATCTTACTTGGCAGCAATATGTAGCAAGCTTCTTTTAACTCTTCCAAAGGCATAATTGACATCAAACTTAGAATTTGAAAGCAGCTCCGAAACTGACCTTTGAATGAGAAAAAGAAAATATATTAAACAAGAAAACACAAGCTATGTACAGTTATTTACATTTATTAAAAAAAAAATAAAAAAAAATAATTGATAACACATGAAGACTGATATTAATGTCATTAAACCTGAAACTGCCAGGTCATACAATGACTATCTCCCAAAACTAACTAGATCATTAATGGTTTGGTAACAAGCTTATCTCTGGGATAACAGCAAGAATGTCTCATGATTACTAGACTCGAGCAAGTCCACATCCCTGGTCATCACTTTAGCCTCAGTGCTTAAAAGCACCACTCATGGTGGAAACAAAGCCTAGAAAGGTATTATTTTTTATTATTATACAGGATTTATATAGCGCCAATAGTTTGCACAGCGCTTTACAATATAAGGAAGACATTACAGTCACAATACAATTTAAGACAAGATGGTAAGGAGGGCCCTGCCCGTGAGGGCTTACAATCTAAAAGGGAGGGGCAAGTGATACATGAGGAGGTAGCTGCGCGCGGATGATTGTTTGAGAAAGTGATTGTTCAGTGGTTAGGTTGAGATGAGTCTTAAGAGATCGCCTAAAGGCAGTCAGTGTGGAAGATAGACGGACAGGTTGGGGTAGAGAGTTCCGTAGAATGGGAGACACTCTAATGAAGTCCTGGAGGCGAGAGCAATATATGAATTTACTTACCAGAAAAAAAACAGGCCCTGAAGAAAAGCAATTTGTATTCTAGCCGTACCGACTCGCAAAGCTTTTTATACAAATTTCAGGATAAAGATCCAGATTCTCCTAATCCTTGAAATGTGAGTGACAATATTCGAATCTCTTGTAAAAATGGAACATGATCTATGCACTGAACTCGTTACCATGACCGCCCTACTTAAAGTGGACCTAAAGTCAAAAATTGACAGTAGTGCTGTCCCCTACATGCTTCAATTTAAAAAAAATGGTCACCAATTCCTTCCACCCAGTACTTACCTTGTTCGCAAAGCAGGGTACTATAGAGTCCCAGCATCTACCGCTTTACTTCCTGCTCCCTTTTAGAGGAAAAGGTCTGGGTGAGATGAGTACTCTAATTTGCTGTTCAGACACAGAAAGTCAATCAGAGCTTAAGGCTACACATAGATCCAATCCACTGCTGTAGCTCAGGAATAGGTAATCTCAGCACTCCAGCTCTTGTGGAACTACAAGTCCCATAAGGCATTGCAAGACTCTGGCAGCCCCAGTCACGACTTTCATGGCATGAAGGTTTTTAGATTGTACGCCCTCAGGGGCAGGGCCCTCCTTACCATCTTGTCTTGATTTGTATTGCGATTGTAATGTCTTCCTTATATTGTAAAGCGCTGCACAAACTGTTGGCGCTATATAAATCCTGTATAATAATAATGAAGGGATTTGTAGTTTCATCACAGCTGGAGTGCCAAGGTTGCCAATCTCTGCTGTAGCTCATAGGGAAATGAGGTGGCAGCTGAACGGACTCCTTTGTACCGCACTTCAAGACAGGAGTTAAAGAGATACTAAACTTAGGAATTATATTTTAAAAATGCATTCAAGTACCTAGACTATTAACAAAAACGTATCTCATTTGTGCATCACTCAGCTGTATATCCTCAAATCATCTCTGAATTGGTGCTGACACTGTCCTTCCTTCTGGAGGGTGGCTACTTTTGTTCCCCATGGTCCCTGTGTGTGTTGTATAGTAGCCACCGCTCCAAGTTCCCTCCTGTAATGGACTACAATCTCAATATAAAATAACTAAAAGTGACATTGTAGTCCATCACAGGAGTGAGCTTGGAGCGGTGGCTACTATACAACACACACAGGGACCATGGGGAACAAAAGTACCCACCTTGCAGAAGGAAGGACAGTGTCACACAAATTCAGAGATGATTTGAGGATCTACAGCTGAGTGATACACAAATAAGATACATTTTTGTTAATAGTTAAGTTACTTGAGTGCATTTTTAAAATATAATTCCTGAGTTTAGTGTCACTTTAAGTATTGAGATGTGTATTGTGGCTATTTTTTTTTTTTACAGCCTTTACAGTGAACAGGAGACAAATTCATTTTTTTTAATTTAGGTCAGGTTTAATTCTAGTAGAACTATTGCACCCCATTACAAAATATGTACTACAGCACTAAAAGTGCATCTGCTCCTGCAGGTTTCTGTTAGTCCCCCTGTAAAGTCCCACAAATAACTGTTGAGTCTGCCAGTGAATGTCCACCTAATGCATCTTATTATGATGGTATGGGAATGATGCTGCACTGCTCCTCGATTCAGAGCAGAGTTATCACTCTCTTGCAAGCTGTTTCTGCTCAGTCTACAGTGGGATGAGAAGAAAAAAACTTGCAGGGAGCTATTAACATTGTCAATGCTGGATCACAAGCCTATAAATTGTCAATTATTACCTGGACATACCTAGTCCTGGCTAGTACCGTTTCCTGGATTGACAGCATTGCAGACACCCTCCCACTGTGATCTGCAGTGTCTGGGAGAGCTTTTTCACCACATAGTAACTGCATGGGGTACTTGTTTAGACTGCCATACAGGAGCTTTAGATTGCACTTTAAGTTTAAAACTATTTGAGGAAATCTGTCCCAAGGACCAAACGACAAGGTCTCCTTTTGCCCATTCACAAAACGCCTTGTATTATGTGAAGAGGATGCAGAGCGTTCTGTCAATGGACAAGAGGAGAGAAAAGAGAAGGGGTAAATGACAGGACCCTCTGCTTCAAGTGGTTGGAAAACATGCTATGGTGCGCATGCGTGCAACCGGAATTGCGCTGAAAGATGAGCAGACGTCTGGCGCATCAGAAGTGATGCTTCTACCTTGATAGTCTGGCCTATTTAAACGAGCCTGCCCTTACCACATTGCCGATGGTCTTTCAGCTAGTGTTCCTGTTGCCTGTACCCTGTCGGTTTGCCTGCTGCTCATTTTGACCTGGATTGTTTGGACTCCCTCTCTCGTTTGCTGCCTGCCCCTGAGCTCAGCCTGTTTCCTGGACTTTGCCTTCTGCCTATAGATTTTGTACTTCGTTGGCCGGATGGTTCTGATCTTCGGCTCTCCTGATCCTGTTTCTACACTGCCCGCTCGGTTTGACCTCTGGCTTTGCTGACTTCCCACTACTGGATGTCCCCTGTATGGTGTATGGTTCCCATGGTGGCACTCATGCACCTCACTGTCATTCCACTCTCTGTCCCCATCTCCAGGGGGTGTAGGACACAAGTCGCAAGAGAAGCCTCCTCGTCTACTGGTCTCTCACCAGGTACATGATAATATGGCATAATTGAAACTAAAATGTTTGCCTTATGCAGATGCCATCCAGACCTAGGATGCCCATCATTGGGGTAACTTATTTGTATACAGCAAAAAAAGGTTTTATCTTGGTGATTCGCTTTAATATACAGTACTAAGGTAAATGAATATTCACCTCTTCTGAGTTACTGCTATAGCCTGTGATTTGTTATAAAACTATTCTGTTTACACCAAAAAAAATCCAAGGCAAAAAGCACTACTGTCTTCAAAAGATAGATAGATAGATAGATAGATAGATAGATAGATAGATAGATAGATAGATAGGATGTGAAAGCACTTTATTTGATGAAGTCAATAACTTTAAAATAATCCAACCACATACCGATGTTGATCGGCCATCACCATTGGCATCAAGGTATAAACTGCGGTTTCATTATCTGCATCAAAGAGAGACAATTTTTACATTAAGACTGTTACATGCATACAAAAGGAACATAACAATGTATTAATACAGGAATGAACAATGTTTAACAATTAAAGTGACACTAAACTCGGGAGTTAAATCTTAAAAATACATTCAAGTACCTTAAAGTGACATTAAAGTCAAAAATGTTTCCCTCCCCCCAATGTTAATGTTAGCACTTACCTTAAATGATGTCTCTTAATCCGATCTTCTTTCCTGATGTTTTCATCTGTCCCTCCAGCGGTGCTGCTGGTCTCCTATCAAGCGCTGACTCCTCTGAGCTTGCTGGCACTTCCTGTCTCACGGTGTCTGCATGCGGGTGCACGCGTCCATAGACTTACCTTGTGTCTCTCCTCGCGTCCCTTCCGAATATGTGATCTGCGCATTCGCCCGCCCCAAGATGCTTTGCGGCTGCCCGAGATAATACAGGTAAGTATTAACGCTTTTCAAAGCAGTTTTTTTTTTTAACACTTTTTGCATATATCTACTGCATCGTAGCAGTAGATATAAGCAAGAAACCGGAGGCTTTAATTATCCTTTATCTACTAATAAAAATGTATCTTATTTGTGTATCACTCAGTTTTAGATCCTCGAATCATCTCTGAATTGGTGCTGACACTGTCCTTCCTTCAGGAGGGTGGCTACTGTTGTTCCCCATGGTCCCTGTGTGGGTTGTAAAGTAGCCACCGCTCCAAGCTCACTCCTATGATGAGACTACAATCTCAATACAAATTACTAAACTAAACATGAGATTGTAGTCCATCACAGGAGTGAGCTAGGAGCGGTGGCTACTTTATAACACACACAGGGTACATAGGGAACAAAAGTAGCCACGCTCCAAAAGGAAGGACAGTGTCAGCATGAATGCAGAGATGATTTGAGGATCTACAGCTGAGTGATACACAAATAAGATACATTTTTGTTTTTAGTTAGGGCACTCGAATGCATTAAGATTTAACTCCTGAGTATAGTGTCACCTTAAAGTATTTGTCACTGTTTAGGCAAGCTCCACTAAGACAGGGCAGAACAACACTGTCTACAAGTATGATATACCTCAGCGCTGCAGTTGCATCTCCGTTCCCCTCTCCTCCTGGCCAATCACAAAAGCAAACAGCCCCAGGTTCAATTTTTTAATTGACCAAGAGGGGATGGAGATGCAACGGCCGCAGCAGGTGCAGACGTTGGTCTTCCACCTGCAAGTATATTGAAGGAAGAAGATCTAATTATGGCAGGCGGGTTTACAGCAGTCACTCTGACATATTCTGAACTGAAATAACATTATTGGAGTTGGGCTTTAAAGCAGCAAAACAGAGTTGAAGCCAAACCCTTTAATGGCTGATGGATGAAAACTGCAAGCTTTTTAGCTTCAGGTCCTTGGTCAGGACCCCATAGAGACCTGAGTCTGCAGATTTCACCCAGCAAATAAAATGCAAGACATCTACTACAGTCTACTGTATCCAATGACCAAACACTGATATCATCAGAGTATCAGATTAATCTACTGCAATCCATACAATGACAGGTCCCTGTAAACACTGATCGATCCCCAGTCATATGACAGCACAGATAGATGATGTCACCTTCAGGAAGCTCCACGGTGCGGGCTCTACGTAGAGATCGGGTCAAACGATTGAGTTGTTCCATAGCTCTCTCCATGCTAGGGGAGCTCAGCTCCCTCCAGTAGAATCCCTCTCTAGGAGGTCCCCTATTTTCACCAGCTTGAGGGAAACGAAGCACCGGGTTCAGAGACAAGTCAGAGCCGACCAATAACTACTCTGTCTTCCAAAGGACTGCAAGGGGCGTCACAGCTCCCCGACCACAGCAACTCCATGTCGGTTACTTGGCCAGGTACAGCGGCTGTATGAGCAGATAGGAAAAGCTGTCCAGCTTCCGACCTGAGCGGTGGCGTACGTTGCTCTGGTAGATGTAGTCTAATAAACGATGCAGGAGCGTATGGAGATAAACCTCACCGTCCCGGGAAACTACGTTACCCACAATGCATTGTGCGGTAACTAAGGGCTGTTCCTGAGACGTTTGTCAAGGCTCCCTATTGGCGCATCTGACAACTTAGTGCGCCTAGTCATTTGTAGCAGGGATAGGCAACCTCTGCACGCCAGCTGCGGTTCAACTTCGAGTCATGCCTATGGCTGTCATAGTCTTGCAATGCCTTGTGGGACTTGTAGTTCCATGACAGCTGGAGTGCTTATTTTGCCTACACCGGTATACAGTGTAACATGAGAGCGATGGGCACAGCCTAGAATAAGGTTGACCAAGCACATGACTAAACCCAGGATTGGGTGAAACATGGCAGAGGGGGTGGACTTTGGGCACTGCGAATTTTTAATAAACTGACTCAGCGTGGAATAGAGTGTGGCCAAATTCTTCCTTTACTATATACATGAAAAAGCAGTTATGGACTCATTGACATTAAATGATACCCCCTACCACCACCATGGCTAGTGTCAGCACTTACCTTAAATGATGCCTCATGATCTGATCATCATCTTCTTTCCACTTGTATTCAGGAGTCCCTCCAGCGCTGGTGCCGGTCTCTGATCCAGCGATAACTCCTCTCTCTTCCTGGCACTTCCTGTCCCACGGAGTCTGTGCGGGAGCACGCTGCCTCCATTGACTTACCTCGTGTCTCTCCTTGTCTTCTGGCCGAAGATGTGTACTGTGCATGCGTAGGCGTAGCTAGCTCCTTTTGTGCCCGAGGGAAAAACAAAAAAATGTGCCCCCCCAACAGGCGTGTGGTATCACCCAACGCCGCGCATGTGCGGCGTCATGTGACATCATGCCCCCGCCTCCACCTCCAGCATGTGTTTTTTAAATTTATTTTTTATTATTTATTTTTTACGAAAAATTTACATTTAATTTTTTTTTACTGTTGGGGGGGCTTCGAGGAAATATCAGGGGGCTAAACCGCCCCCTGATATTTCCCTTTTAAAATGAAAAGAAATTGAGGGCACAGAGTCCTGAATCTCTTTTTCTGCAGCCTTTGTTCTAAATCTATGGAAAGTACAGAGGCTTCCCATTCAGAAATGAATGGATATCCATGTTTGTAGTGTAGGTTTATAATAAATAAAATAGGGTAAAACTAGCAATGAACATCCAGTCTTATATCTATTTATATCCCAAATCACAACATTTACTTTCATCAAAATATGTGTGTTTCTATACACTGGCAGCTGGCAGCTTATTCTGCTCTTGCTATATCCTTACTGATCAGCAGGTGGCAGTGTTCACTAATAGTTTGATTAGGTAAATCCAGAGGGACTGCTAGTTTAATGCGGTTCTGTCCTTATTTACTGTGAACCTTCTAATACAGAAGTACAAGGCCCAGGGAGCCCTATTATTAGACAATGGCAGTCATTTTAAGTTTATAAGGTTGGGTAAAGGGCAAAAGTATATATCCTCTTAATTCTTAAATGGAGGATGAAAATGTGAGAAACAGATACAGTATTAGTGTGATTTAAAGGAGAACTATGAGATGAGTGATTTCCACTCACCTCATAGTTCTAGCCGACCTGTGACAATCAGACTGTCACAGGTCGGCTAAGTAGATCGGGAGGTGAGCGAACACATATCGGCGTTCGCTCACCTCTCGATCCTGTCACGACTCTCTGCTGTGACAGGGGAGGGGCTGGATTCCCCCCCTCCACGCTCTGATCCGCCAGCGCTGACTGGCGGAACGGACAAGGGAGGGGGCGGGTACAGCTGGCTCTGCCTCTAGATTGGCAGAGCCAGCTGTCAGTCACACAGCTGGGCGGATCCCGGCATAATTGCCGGGATCCGCTTCAGCTGCGGCGTCTCAGTATACCGCGAGCAGCAGCTCACGGTATACTGCGGCGTCTCAGTATACCGCGAGCTACAGCTTGCGGTATACTGAGCCTAGGGTGACGGGAGGACGCTAGTTTGTGTCCTCCCGTTACCCTAAGGAGAACTATGGGGAAAAGCCTTAACCTAATCTATTTATATCCCAAATCACAACATTTACTTTCATCAAAATATGTGTGTTTCTATACACTGGCAGCTGGCAGCTTATTCTGCTCTTGCTATATCCTTACTGATCAGCAGGTGGCAGTGTTCACTAATAGTTTGATTAGGTAAATCCAGAGGGACTGCTAGTTTAATGCGGTTCTGTCCTTATTTACTGTGAACCTTCTAATACAGAAGTACAAGGCCCAGGGAGCCCTATTATTAGACAATGGCAGTCATTTTAAGTTTATAAGGTTGGGTAAAGGGCAAAAGTATATATCCTCTTAATTCTTAAATGGAGGATGAAAATGTGAGAAACAGATACAGTATTAGTGTGATTTAAAGGAGAACTATGAGATGAGTGATTTCCACTCACCTCATAGTTCTAGCCGACCTGTGACAATCAGACTGTCACAGGTCGGCTAAGTAGATCGGGAGGTGAGCGAACACATATCGGCGTTCGCTCACCTCTCGATCCTGTCACGACTCTCTGCTGTGACAGGGGAGGGGCTGGATTCCCCCCCTCCACGCTCTGATCCGCCAGCGCTGACTGGCGGAACGGACAAGGGAGGGGGCGGGTACAGCTGGCTCTGCCTCTAGATTGGCAGAGCCAGCTGTCAGTCACACAGCTGGGCGGATCCCGGCATAATTGCCGGGATCCGCTTCAGCTGCGGCGTCTCAGTATACCGCGAGCAGCAGCTCACGGTATACTGCGGCGTCTCAGTATACCGCGAGCTACAGCTTGCGGTATACTGAGCCTAGGGTGACGGGAGGACGCTAGTTTGTGTCCTCCCGTTACCCTAAGGAGAACTATGGGGAAAAGCCTTAACCTGCCTGCCTCCTCCACCACTGCAGCGATGTACGTACCTCGGCATCTTCATGTCCAATACACTGTGAGGGGGATTTATCAAAACTGGAGAAGGCAAAATCTGGAGCAGATGTGCATGGCAACCAATCAGCTTCTCTCTTTCATTTTCAAATATTAAATGAACAAGATGAAGAGAGAAGCTGATTGGTTGCCATGGACAACTGCTCCAGTTTAGATAAATTCCCCTCGCTGTATAGAACGTGATGATTAAGGAACCTTAGACCACTGCAGCAGAGGGGGGAGAGAGGCTCCAGGGACTGGTGTAAGAGCAAGCCGGCTAAGAGGATCAGGTGAGTATAACTTTTTTATTTTTAACCTAGACAAAAGCAAATGGGTAGCCCCACTGCAAAAGTTAAGAGGTTTTTTTACCCATTGTTCTTCTTTAACACAAATAAAACTCCCATAACCCTTTCACCACCAGAGCCTTTCTTGCACACATGTTAAAATGCACCTTTTAGACCTGAGAATTACTTAACCCCGCCCCCATATTTAAAGATTTCCAGAAAGCAGAGACCTGCAGATTTATCAAAGCTGGAGCAAACAGAATCTGGAGCAATTGCCCATGGCAACCAATCAACATCTCTCTTCAGTTTGCTCAGGTAAGATATGAAAATGAGACAGAGAAGCTGATTGGTTGCAGTGAAAATCTGCTCCAGTTTTGATAAATCTCCCGTCTGTCTCTGTGATTCTTCCTATATATTGCTTTTCAGATGGTGGTGGAGCCTGAAATCTTAGTATTTCATGCAGTGTCCCCTGCTTCTGCAGCTATTCTACTCTCAGTGCTTCAGTGCTACTGGTCCTTCACACTTATGCCCACATTTTGGTGTGCCCTTTAGCACACATCATGATGGGTGCTGTTGCACATGCACTATATTCTGACTTGAAGCCACAATTCACAAAATCTGGAAGTGACACCTCCAGGGGCACGAACGATGGGCATTGAAAAGGAAGTGTTTGAGGTAGAGAGGTGAGGTTGTCTGCCAGTTGCTTTTGGCATGTAGCCACATGGTTTGGTGGCATTGGACGCCATTTACAGTGTTCAAAGTAAGATCAACCGCTTTGCCTTCTGGCTGAGTTTCCTTACCTTCCATCCTGGGGAGTGCATTTAGTACTTTAACCCTATAGAATAGATTGTCCACATTTCAATCTTTTCACACATCCCTTTGGCCCACATGTTTGACAACTGAGGGAGGCTTATGTTTGATGTGAATGGCAGGGTACAGTCTAATTGATTGTTGCTGCTACATACAATATGTAAGTGTTTGGGTCTTTGGAAATGGGTTCATGATTTATGACATACTAAATATATATTCTATGTCAGAGGCACCGTTAACATATGACTTCTTGAAAGTTATATAAGATCTAATTCCCAAAAGTGTAGGTTGGTTTGCTTTCACTCACCTGCCCAGTTTATGCCTAACAAGCTTGCTGAGGGTTTAAGCATGGAGGCTGTGCAGGCCATTCCATAATATGAAGTCTATTCTTTTGGTTTTTTTTATTTTAAGGGAGTTCTGACATAGCCTGGGGGTATGTTTTGGGTCATTGCCTCTCTGTAGAATAAACTCCTGACCAATGAGATGTATTACACCAGGGCTCAAAATTTCCACTCGCCTGCTCGCATTTTGCGAGTAAAAATAAGGTGAGGGCGAGTGTAAATTTGGGTCTCCAAGTACCAGCTCGGGGACCAACTCCGGCACGCGAGCCGGTACTATGTGGCCCACAGACAGCGGACATGTCAGGCACACGGTCGCAGACTGCGTACCTGACTTGCGGGAGAAGATCCACGGTCTGCATCTGTGTCCGATGCAGACCGCAGAGCAGCTCCTGTCAGCTCTGGCTT